GAGAGAGAGAGAGAGAGAGAGAGAGAGAGAGAGAGAGAGAGAGAGAGAGAGAGAGAGAGAGAGAGAGAGCGAGAGGGGGAAGCAATGAAGATGCTGAAGGTGTGGAAGAACTGACCTTGGTGCCAGGCCTGACCGAGAGGGAGTTCTCTACCTAATCATAGTTGTGATACCACGTTCTCAAAACAGTGCCACAAAGTTGAACTTTTAGTGTGAAAAACATGCATATGCTGGTCAGTATATGTCCTAACAACACTTTCCGACACGGTTAAGTTATTCGGCACGGATAGGTCAACTACTACGCAAGGGGGATAGAAAGGCAAGCCTGTAAGAATGTGACCTCCACTAAATACCGGAATGAGGCTGGAACGGAGAGCGTATTGGCTCGAGGTACTACCAAGTCCTGGGAGGAGTGCAGTAGGAGAGCGATCAGGTATATCTAGAAGTTTACTGCAATAATGGTTACAGGAAATAACGTACTGTTATGATCACATACATGTATACGCTATGACACTACCTGAGTTTTCCTTGCGAGCATGCCAAAAAATAGATATAGACAATCAGACTCATTTTTGAAAAAGCAGAAGACGCAATAAAAAAATAAAAACAGATAAAATATCAAATAAAATATGTAATATATAATTAAAAAAAACAAAAAAACAGATATAATATAAGATAAAATATGTAATATATAATTTTTATGTTGTAAAAGCAGATGTCATCACGATATACTCGTTATATTTTGCAGGATATTTTACAACATACGCCCTGCTGTTTTCACCTGAGACGTACGCTTCTATACACAACAACACTAACCAACCTTCCTTCTCTGCTGCGTGGCGTTGGCGTTTCGCCTTTCGCACAGCCTGTTTCTCCATCTCCTCCCTCTGCATCTCGGCAATTCCCACCAGCGTCTTCTTGTCCCAGTGGCCAGGTGGCAGCACCACGCTCGTGTCGAGAAAATTGTTGATGGCGACCTTCAGGTCTTGCCCGCCGTCTGCCGTGTAGGCGACCCCCTGGAACGTCTGCAAACAACAAACATGTACAAACAAATTCTGTCGCAAATTCTCCCAGTTTAAGATACGCTTTTGATCGAGTTACTCTTATGTGGCATAATAACACCTTGCCCCCCTGTGCAATCACCAGTAATATGGCATCTAGGTTTTTTGCAGGAAGCTCTGGAAGCTAACGCGGTGCCGACTTTAGGAGCAAGGAGCAAAAGGAGCGATGCTCCCCCCCCCCCCCCCCCGCGCCATGGCGACGCGCGCATCCTGCGGTCGCCGTGGCGATGAGGCGTGCATCCTGCGGTAACCGTGGCGCCGATGTACCTGGTTGACCATGAGTGCCCCGATGGAGCGTCCGATCTGGTGATAGTCAAGTCCGTCGGTCGCCGGGCCGAGCAAGATGAAAAGGAACCTCACGGGAATGTCAATCTCCAACAGTGCGGGCATCGAGGTACCTGATGACATCATCATCAACATCAACCATCATCATCATCAACATCAACCATCATCATCAACATCATCACCATCATCATCATCATCATCATCATCATCATCATTAACCATCATCATCACCATCATCATCATCATCATCATCAACAACGCATGCACGCACGCACATGCGCATGCACGCACACACGCACGCACGCACGCACGCACGCACGCACGCACGCACGCACGCACGCATGCACACTCTCTCACGCACGCACGCACGCACGCACGCACGCACACTCTCTCACGCACGCACACACGCACCTTGCGCTAGCCGCACGAACACTGTGGTCGGCTTCACCAGGTAGCTGACCGTGCCGACGAGTATCGCCGCTCCCTCGGCGCCCTCTGGTATCCGTTTCAACAACTCCGATGTCTGCTTGCTGGGCGCTGGCTGTTCAGGAAACTGGTTGGTTCCCGTCACCGACACCTGAAAGCAACAGAGCGACAATGAATCATCGTGGTCGTACTAGCATCATCAAAGCTACATAACACGACATAAAAAGTGTCATAATAAATATTTCATCGTGGTCACACTCAAGCGCGTAGCCAGGGGGGGGGCCTAAAACCCCCCAATCAAAAAATAAATAAATAAATAAAACATTTTTTTCTCTATTTTCTTTTTCTCTTAAAAGCGCGTAGCTGGCCTAATCCTGGCCTCGTTAAAAAAATTATAATTACAATTTTAATTATCAGCCAGCCTATTTTTAGTACCGTATTCAAAAAAATGGTCTTAAAGCACTATTTTTACATTTAACTAAAAAAAAAACATTTCCCTTGTTACTCGCTCGAGGACCCCCCAATCCAAATTCCTGGCTTCGCCTTTGGTCACACTAGCACTCAGCGTAGCCTGTGAAGCATGAATGATGACGTGTATGATGACACTACTTTGATGACACTGCTATACCTTGTCTCCCTGCTCCACGTCACGGTAGAGAGGCACGTTGGTGATCTTCCTGGAAGATCGGCTGCTGTCCGGTTTGCGTTTGTCCAGAAGCGAAACCACACTCACCCTGCAAGATTCCCACGTTCAACGTGACATGCAAGGTTAGAGACATAACTCTATTAATTTGGCAAGAATGACAGGCCCCACAGTTATGGGCAATTGAATAATTGAATCACAGGCAAGGTTAGAATCATAACTCTATTAATTTGGCAATAATGACATGCCCCACGGTTATGGGCAATTAAATAATTGAATCACAGGCAAGCTTAGAATCATAACTCTATTAATTTGGCGAGAATGACAGACCCCAGAGTTATGGGCAATACTAGCCTATTACTAGGGCTATAAGATAAGGATATATGTAAGATACAGAATAGGACAATATTTATACTACGACAATTTGGAAATAATGATTAGTTGATGCACGGCTAATTACGCGTTTGTACTCACTTTCTAAGGTCGATCGCAGCAAGATTTTTGAAAGAGATATTTTTGGGCAAAAACTTATTATCACCTGCCCACCTGCAACGTAATAAAAAATAGAATTAATTACACATTAATTAATTAAGGATGCATGAATCTAGAGCATCACGGGCAATACACGAGGACAGTGTATGGATATCAAACAGTTGCAATTTATTGAAAAAATTAAAGCAACACTACCTAGGAGATCTCAGAAATGCATTAAAGGAGGTGTCGCGGAAGACGTAGGGGGAGGAATGGGTGGCGGAGGAGGTCGGGGAGGGAGGGGGAGGGACAACGTAGGTTGACGAGGAAGGGGTGGAGGAGGTCGGGGAGGAGGGGCAGAGGTGGCAGGGGAGGGAGGGCGTAGGCCAGGGAGGAAGGCAGGCGGAGGCAGTTGGGGAAGGAGGGTGAGGAAGAAGGAGCGGCGAGCACGCACTTGTGTTTCAGCAGCAGGGTGTGTATCAGTGGCTCCACGTCCTGCTTCCTGACCTGGTCGTTAAGCAGCATGCTGTTTACCACGCGATCCAAGATGCTCGGATAGTCCAACAAATGCATGTCCAGCAGAACCATGCCTGCAAGAGCAGCGTACGCGCCGTTGCCACGACAACCGTTACTACGACAACATGGGGCCACATTCACACCCGTATAAAATTATACATCATAAACTGCGCCACTAAATTTTCGATCCGGCTTTCGAGCAAAGGGAACTTCGTCCCCCCCTCCCCAAGCCGTTTATTCTTCTCTTACGTTTCTCCTTCCCCTCTCGTTTCTCCTTCTCCTCCGTTTCCCCTTCTCCCCCGCGTAAGCCCCCCCCACCCTGCGCATTTCAACCCACCCCTTCCTCCGATGCACTTCGCGAAAGGCCCCTGAGCAGGCTTGGAAGGAGAGCGGAGGGGCACGCGAGGGGGGCTTGCTCCAGCGGTCGACGGACCCTTCTGCACGTCCTCCTCCGAACTTGATCCCAGCGACGCCAATCTCCCTTATCGCACACGCTCATTGGTCCTATCCGCTCACAAGGATGAGCTCGCCCTCCAGCTCGCGAACGATCTGCCACAGAGAGCAGAGAGAGAGAAGCACAGCGAACCAACCCCCCCACCACCCCAGACCACGACCCCCGCGACCGTTGATGGCCGACGCACACCACCAGACAGAGAGAGCAGAGAGAGAGGAACCAGGAACCCACCACCCGCAGAGACGACCCGCGCCGAGCTCTGCGAGATCGAGACCGAGACCGCAACTCCACCGACAGAGAGCCTGAGAGCACGAGCATCAACCGGGACACACCTGCACCGAACCCCAAACTCCCCCCAGAGACGACGAGTGACAGAACCGACGAGACGACCGAGCGACCACCAACGACGAGCACCCACAAGACGCACCCGAGCCCGGACCCCGAACGACGAACGAAGAGAACTGCACAGGAGAGAGAGACGATTAGCACGAGGCAGAAGGGATGCGAGGAGAGAGCACCGAGAGAGAGGAGCGACGGAGCACCGGAGAGCAGATGCGCGAAACGAAGAGTGAATGATCGCCCGCGCAGAAGTGGCCGCACCAACCACACCAGATGAGGACGACGACGGACCGAGAGGAGCAGGAGACACAGAGCAGAGGAGAGGACGAGAGAGCGAGACGAGAGAGAGAGGAGAGACAGAGCGACGACAGAGAGAGAAGACGAGAGAGAAGAATGAGAGAGGAGAGAAGAGAGACAGAGAGAGACCGAGACCCGACCGACCGAGAGAGGAGAGAGACGCAGAGAGCAGAGAGATCGAGAGAAGACGAGAGACGAGAGAGGCAGAGAGACGAGAGCAGAAAGACGCCAACGCACACACAGCAGAGATGGCGGCCGGCACGAGAGGAGAGAGAGCAGTCAAATTTACCACTAACAACGTTAAAAAGACTCCGCCCACGCAGGCCCCCAACTTTAAGACACGAATCTGCCCCGACGCACCCCACCTCACCTCGTTGGTATGCTGGCTCCCACTATCTTTGGTTTCGAGCCCTATGCTAATTCGTCCTGCAGCATTCATGCCTGCGCACGCTCGAGCCTGCTGGTGCGTGGCATGGCGGCTGACACACGACGCCGATCCCGTCTGATACCGTGCTCGTCCCCGCAGCGCGCACGCAACAGCGCGTCATCTGCGCAGACCGGACAGGGGGGGGGGGAACACACGACTGACCAAATCCACTGCTTAACCTGTGGGTCACGGGACCCCTTTGCGCCGTCCGTGGATGGGCTTCAGGGGCGTCGTAACCCATGAGCATTCAAAGTCTTGTTGTACCGGCTTCACGTGCATTTCTTCTGGGGAGGCGTCTGTACGCTTTTCTCACCAGCATTCTCAGAGGCCCATGGACTCAAAAAAAGCGTTAAGAACCGCTGCACTACGACTAAACTCACTCGCGAATTTTGTCAGCGGTCTTGGTATGGTATAGAAGCCGCGCGACCGATCGGGAGACTCGCTCTAAAAGACGTCCGAGGCGGCGCGCGCAGCCGAGACACCCTGCGCAGACACCGCCACTCACGCTCTCGCTGCCAGCCATGACACGCTGGCACACTCGCACCACGAGACCGCGCCCAAGACTCAAGACTCGCGGACCCTCACGCTCCTCGCGACGCACTCATGCTCTCGAGGCCTAAACACAGAGAGCATGTGCGCGCGCAAGACAAGATTGAGACACGCGACCGAGGACACGCCGGCTTCACGAACTCACGCTTCTCGCGAGGCCTGCACACGACCACGAGACACGATGAGACACGATCAAGACATGCACTTGCCAGCAACACGGATTGAGACACGTGACCGCAGACACGCCCGCTAACGGACTCACGTCTTCGCGAGGGCGTCCAGCCTTTCGGCGTCCCGTACTCGTCGCTCCGTCTCATTGCAGTTACTGTCGCTAGCCCGCGCATGCTCCGCCTCCAGGATGCCGCTGCAGCAGGTTGCGTTGTAACATCACATGGCTTCCTGTTCTCCGCCGCTGCGCTCATCCTCATTGCGACGTGCCCGAGCCGTGTTCGCCGCCGCGACTGCTGCTGCTCCTCCCGTATAGAGGCCGCCTCGCTGCCAGCAGCATATGCCCGCCGTGTGTTACAAACACAGCGCGAGGACGACGCGACGCGCACTTACACACACGCACGCCACGCACGCCACGCACGCACGCACGGCACGCACCACGCACGCACGCACGCACGCACGCACGCCACGCCACGCACGCACGCACGCACGAGCCCACGCACGCCAGCGCACGGCACGCGCACGCACAGCACGCCACCATACGCACGCACGCTCACTCAGCACAGCTGCACAACCACACACACACACACATAGCAGCATACCATTACTCAAGCACGACGGAACGCCACCACTGCACCGCACTCACATGTGCACACATGCTAGCGAGTGCTAAATGAATATTATTACAAGTTGAGCCGTGCACATATGGTAATATGGACGACCAGATCAGATCTGAAAAGAGCAGGCAGAAAGATTGGGGCATAGGGAGCTTCCACTAAATAAAATAGATAAACAGAATCCGGACCTAGGGCTACCAGAATTTCTGAGGCCTGCCAATGGAAATTCCTACAAAAATGGCCAAATGGAATGTAAAAGCGGATTGTACATAATTACTGGGAAATCTTAACACGCCCAGCAGGCCGCATATGGGCAAAAAAAACGAGAGCTTAGAGGAGAAGAGGGGCAACTAAAAACAAGCAAAAGAAAATGTAAGAAGAGGGAGAGGGAGATGGCGATAAAACGAGAGGCAGACAGAGGAGCAGCCGAAAGGCAAGAAGAAGCAGAAGAAGAAGGAGAGAGCGAGAGAGAGAGAGCGGCCACCTATGTTGGACTCCTATCCTGCGTCGTCTTGGGCAACGCCGTGCCGCGCCTGTCGCGATCCCTTCATGTCATCGTCGTCCTGCACTTCGACATTCCTCTCTCATGAAACATACAACCAAGAATTCCTCGATAAACAATCATAGAGATGATCTTGCCAATTGATCCACAAATACCAATATGCGATTAACAAAGCGCATATAGATTATATCAGAGTCACGATAATATCAGATTCCCTCCCTACTTGTCTACTACCTGATTATTATAGATAGAATATTAATAATATATACTATACTACTCATATATATATATATATATATAAATATTATTAATAAATATATAATATATATGCAATCATAGAGATGAAGATTAGTAATACTAGAGATTCATTATGACACACATCTTCCATTGCGTGGATGCATTAAAAATATAGTTGTCACCTTTGTAATACAATCTAGCTCTCTCAAGTAGAGAAAATAAACAATGTTATGTCACCAATAGTTTCAGATATTGCCGTGGCATATTAGTATATATTAAAAACAGTTTTGCTAGTTCATGGTAAATTCATAAAAATTTAGTCCGACCTAAACTGGATTGACAGGTGGTCGGATATTCGAAAATAACGTATAAATGCGTGAAAACAACTTACAGATTAAACGTGGATTAAAAGTGGAGTATAAGTATGAAATATGCTTTAATAATAATCATTCCACAGCATAACTAAAATAATAGGGTACGGAAATATTGTTAGTAATTGTTTAAAAAACAGTGATTGAAGTTTGGCTCCCATATTTGCTTTCTCTCTTTGGGGTAAGGTCTACCCAATGTTTTAGTAAGAATTTTTTGGCATGGACTTGCCCTCACTTCTGGCTTTGGTTCGATTGAAAGAAACACTTCCTTTTTTCACTTGCCAATATCCGCAAACAATAAAACAATACAAATACATAAACCACAATCAAGATATATACAGTACAAACATAAATCACTATCACAGACAAGCAAACAAATCTATGTCAACATTGGTATGGGACACACTGAGAGACCACTCCAGGCAACACAGGATTATGCAAAATAGCAGTCATGCGTGCGCAGTACAACCCTGTACACTACACATATATAGAACCCCGATTAACTGCATCGGATAAAAAAGAATGTCGGATAACTGAAGATTAGATCATCAAGAATCTAACCTATAAGAATCACAAAGCTATACAATGTGACAAGTTGCACAATGTGATGTTGGATGTGTGGAACGCAAAAAAACGACTTGGGGAGTAAAGAAACTTATACCACTTATACCACCTATACCACCTAGATGGCAAATCTGCAAGTAATAATGAACAAATGGATATTCGTTTTCCTTTACAAAGCACTATGAGCAAAGTACATAACAGACAGAAATATCTAGTGGGAGGATATTTGTGGGGGTGAAGGGGGTGGGGAGACTGCCAAACCCAGAAAGCACGGTCGAATACTGTAGATCCCTATCTAGGTGAAGGGTGATAAGCGAGTGGACCGCAGTGGACAGAAAGACAGAATTAGGTGACCAGACCAGAATGTCGAGCGCGCGCGAATCCACCCAGGTTAACAAACTCCGTGGATAGTAGCGAGCAAACCGCGCGGTAGATGTAGTAATATATTTTATTTATTAAAACAGGTTAGCTACAAAACAACATCCTCGCCTAAACCGTAGACGGAAGAGACGAAATCTAAGGCGAAATTCGACGGTAATCATGAGATCTGCGGCGGTGTTCATCAGTGGCGTAGCTAGGATTTTTTTAGCGGGGGGGGGGGCACTGGGGGCCAGGGCCTTACATTTTCGTGGGGGGCACAATATATAACTTTTCTTTGTATTATACTGTTCTAACGGCATTGTTTTAATTCAATTTTTTTTTATCTAAGCATGACTTTTCAGTGGGGGGGGGGGGGGCACCTGGGGCACAGAAAATTTGTGGGGGGCCACGTACCCCCCCCCCCCCCCAGCTACGCCCTGGTGTTCATGCGCATTCTGCAGACGTAATTCAGCGGGATTTTGTGGACATCCAACCCCCTGTCATGTGCTTATCTGCAAACGTGTCACTGTGTGTGCTCCACGGTGACCTATAGTGTGTGCGTAGCACTCTGCCACCCTCCTGCGGCTCACACACGCCTCGGCAAATATATCCAGAGAGAAAATAAATAAAGACGGATAGACACGTACAGCGTGACCCACACACAGTTCACAGTTCGACTCCACAGGAATGATGCAGTTTGCTGAGGAGAAGGAAAGGAGAGAACTAAATGAACGAGCATGAATTCAGAAAGCATCGTCATTTTCTCTCAGCCATCACTGGCGAATATCGATGGCGAGTAGGGTCGTGGAAAGCAAGGTGCCACCTATATAAGAGCGGACCAGATATCTTGAGAGGATACTCCCAGGTTGGGGAGACTTCAGGACTCCCTCTCTCTCTCGCACACTCTATCTCTCTATCCCTCTCTTTCTCTCTCTCTCTCTATTTCTCTCTTTTCCCCTCTCTCTTTCTCTCTCTCTCTCTCACACAATCACTCTCTCTCTCTCTCTCTCTCTCTCTGGCTCTCTATTTCTGCTCATTTTCTTCTCTCTGCTCTATTTTCTCCTCTTTTCCGCTCTCTCTTTCATCTCCTCTCTCTCTGCACACAGCTCTCTCTCCCTCTTTCTCTCTCTGCTTCTCTCTATTTTCCTCTTTTCCCCATGCTGCTCTTTGCTCTGTCTCTCTCTCTCACACTCCTCTCTTTCTATTTCTCTCTTCTCTTCTCTGCTCTCTATTTCTCTCTTCCCCTCTCTATTCTCTCCTCTGCTCGCTCTCTGGCGTCTCTCTCTCTTCTCTGCTCTCTCTCTCTCTTCTCTCTCTGCCTCTCTGCTCTCTCTCTCTCTCTCTCTCTCTCTCTCTCTTCTCTCTTGCCTCTCATCTCTCTCTGCTCTCTCTTCTCTCTCGTCTCTCTCTGCCCTCTCTGTCCTCCTCGCTCTCGTCTCCTGCTCTACTCGTCTCTCTCTCTCTCTCTCTCTCTCGCCTCTTCTGCTCTTCTCTCTGCTTCGCTGCTCTCTCTCTCGTCTGATCTCTTCTTGTCAGTCTCGATCTCGTCTCTCTCCTCTCTCCTCTCTTCTCGTCGCTCTCTCTCTCTCGGTCTGCTCTCTCTGCTCTCGTCATCTCTCTCTCTCTCTGCTCTCTCTCTCTCTCTCGTCTTCTCCTCTCTCTCCTCTTCTCTCTCTCCTCTCTCTCTCTCTCTCTCTCTCCTGCTCTCTCTCTCTCCTCTCTCTCTGCTCTCTCTCTCTCTCTCTCCTCTCTCTCTCTCTCTCTCTCTCTGCTCTCTCACTCTCTCCTCTCTGCTCTCTCTCTCTCTCATTGTCCTCTCATCTCTCTCGTCGTCTCTCTCGTTCTCTCTCTCTCTGCTCTCTCTCTGTCTCTCTCTTTCTCTCTCTCTCTCTCTCTCTTCTCTCTCTCTCTCTCTCTCTCTCTCGGCTCATTTGCTCCTCTCTCTCTCTCTCTCTCTCTTCCGCAAACGTACCTGGTACCGCTCTTCCCTTGTAGTAAACGCGTTAGTCGCCTCGCTGTGAGAACACAACTTTCTCGCTAGCTTTCATGACTACCGCGCATGCAGCGTCTACCCTCTAAAACTTTACGCACTACATTGCTGGCCGCTGACATGTAATTTTGCCAACAATTATTACAATAACTACACAGATACACAGGTAACAATACTACACAGATACACAGGTAAACAATACTACATAGATAAAGCAGATAACAATACTTAAGAGACAGTGTATACAGATACACAGGTAAGCAATACTACAGCAGGTACAGCATTGCCCGAACTCAAACGTGCTCGTTTTACATTTCAAATACAACCTGCGACACTAGATTCTGTAAACTACGTAACAGGAAGCAGGTGCAAATTGCTCGCCAAGTTCTGGCTATTTCAGGTTTCTATCCTACGCGATTAACTGTACACCCACGCAACTCAGCAGCGTAAAAACTGGTTGTTTTTTTGTCAGGAAATAATATGTTGATATACATGCTGCATGCCACCATCAGCAGGCAATTTGGACATCGCGATGTGTGTAAACATTCTGCCGTGGTATCGCACTGCCGACAACATGCCTCAGGCCGGTCACTTCTAACCCACGAGACCGTCGCCAGGATGTAATATGCGTTTTTCTGTCCTTTCTCGTAACTAACGACTAGTCAGCACTCGACAACCAAAAGACGAAGAGATGA